GTAAATATGTTTGATCAAGAATTCCTTCATTGAAAGTTTTAGCTTCAAATTCTGAAAATTATTATATTAATCATCTTATAATCCAATTATCAATCAATTAATTAATCAGCCCTACACAGTCAGAGCTTTTCATGCATCCTTTTCTACAAATGATCAACTGTTCACATATTTTATCGCGTTTTATGCAGTGAAGTAAATTTGTCTTTAAAAAACACATATATTATTATATTTCTAATGTTGTATAAAGTGGTTAAATGAAAAATGTGCCAATTTTTTTGGATAACTAAAATATTTGTAAATTATTTTTACTTTTGTATAAATGTGTTCAGATATTTGTCTTGCTTTTAATTCTCTTTCCTGCTATTCATGCAGAATCATCTTCAGCATGACATTTAGATTTTTTTATAAATATTAGATGGATCTCAGCACATTTTAGCTGCAGTACTTCCTGTTTCCAGAGGACAAAACCTGCTTTGCTTCCTGTTTCCCAGGTGGCTGTGGAGCTGATGGAGCAGCTGGGCGTCTCAGAGGACCATCTGGTGACCGGCGCGTACATGGACCTGATACTGCAGGGACAAAAAGAGGCTTAAAGCATTAGTTACATTGTAATCAGATTACAGTGACCAAAGTAGCCAATAGTTTCAATAAAATGTTAGTTTTGTGTGCGCTGATTTGTAAAAACTAGGAGGAAACATTCAGATAATGTCCTTATTTCTTTTTCTAAATAAATATTTCTTAAATCATTCAGGATTTTTTTTCTGTTTGTGTCATGTTTATAAATATTCAGTTTGATTTCTACTAAATAGAAATTTAAAATCTCCTTCCTGCTGGGGATTTATTGGTGTACCTTAAAATTATGAACAACTAATGCGGAGTCAAACTAGAACTGCAATAAATAAATAAACTATCTGGCTGAATATAATTAAAAGTGAAGCTTTTAATGAACATTTATTGTATGAAAGTAAAGCAAACTAAAAACTAGATTTTTAAAATTAATCTCCATCTAAATTGACGAATTACATGTTATAGTTTAAATACCTTCAATCCAAGAGGGGGCGCTGTAATTCCACAATCATCGAGGCTTTCCATCCCACATGGTGGAAAAAGTTTCAACTGGAAAGAACTGCATGTTCATGTATAAAAAGCCAGAAGTTTTTACACCTTGCCACATTATAACTTCTGAATTTTATTTTATTTTGAGATTTCTTGTTATGCACCAACACAGAGTAGTGGATAATTGTGAAATAAACTAAAATAGTACACAGTTGCCATTTTTATTTAGAAATAAAAAAATCTCAGATGTGTGGCTTGCATTTGTATCCATTCTCCTTTACTGTAAATCCACCTGTATAGTTGGTTTGGTCAGAGAACAAAGTAGCAGTTTGTTACATTTTCATTCAGTTCACTTTCACACTGCACTGAGTTAAACCAGCCAAACCCTTTGGAAAAAATATTCCCCTCCTCACCTGTGAGGGCGCTGCACTAAAAACCACTGAAGAAGATACTGGCCGTAACTTCCGCCTTTACAAAATGTAAATAAAGATGTAGTGTGATCAGATTTTGCAAGTTGTAGGATTTCTCTTTTGTCTTTGGTAAAAGACCGCAAGCCATTTCTCCCGCTAGCGCTAGTTAGCATGTCTGATTTGATTGTATTTACCCAAAATGGCTTTAGTTATAGTTCGTCTTCTGCTTTTGGAGCAATTGCTGGTTTGCTTTCATAAGCAGATGCATTCAAACCACGGCAAAGTTTACTCCAACCAAACCGAGACCAAAGATTCCCTAGCTAGCTTTTTGCATATATCCTGGGCAAGTGGAGTTTATTGCAAATTGGCTGGATTTCTTTGGAGATATGTCTTAAATTACAATCATAAGGTTCTTAAAAAGTATTTGATTTGGAAAAACCTGGACATGGCAAACACATGGCAGATTTATTTATTTATTTATTTACTTTTTTGTCACAGGGATTCAAAAATGTACCTTTTGGGCAACATGTAAAACTGGAGCTAAATCCAGGACAATCCTGGAAGAAAACCTGTTGGAAATGGAGAAAACCTGAGGCTGGGATGGAGACAACCTCCCTGAACAAAGAGCCACAGATTGGATGGGATGGTTTATCAAATGGCCCAGTCAAAGTTCAGACTTGCATTCCCTAGAGACTGTTGCAGAGAAGAAGAGATGAAACTTTCTGTCTCTAGATGTTAGAAAATGATTGAGTTATAAGCTTGTAACATGAAGTGGTTATAAAATGCACACCACACTGTTCAGATCTTCATAAGTATTAAAAATTACATAATTTCCCTCCTTTGTGTTGATCTGCATTAGAGCTGAAACGATTAATTGAATTAATTATAATTAATCGATTATTGAAATAGTTGACCGCTAATGTACTAATCAATTAATTAACTGGAGTTTAGACTCAATAAACTAAAATATTCAGCAGTAATTGAGCTAAAACTGTACAAAATATATATACATTCTGAATTTAAGATAAAAACACCTCTCTGAAAATATGACTTCATCTGGTTCAATTAATGTAGATTTAAACAATAAAATGTTTATTTTCTGATTTAAAAAAGGAATCAGATCCTTTGTTTCCTATAATCATTTAATATATTTCAAATATTGGGTGAAAAAGTTTAAGTGGTTAAAGGAAAATCTGTAGAATGTGATTTTTCTTTATACAATTAATTGATTAATCAACTGGTAAACAGGCTCCTCCTCTTCCTCGATGACATCATCAGGCTGTACTCCTCGCTGAGCTGTGATTGGACAGTGGGCTCGTTGTGTTTTTGGCCGGCTCGCTGCATTATTACAGTCTGTAATCTGACACTTTGGGAATGTTATCCCACAGAAATATGCTGCAGACTGAAGCAGCAGAAGCTGCGGAGCGTCATTATGTAACCGGATGACGAACCCATTCAGAACATTTAAACTCCATCTGCTCCTGCTGTTTATTCACCAAAAGCAGATTTTAAGTCCGTTCTCGACTGCAAATGGTATCGGCAGAAGTAGAGGAGGGAAGCTGAAGATTACAGGTTTTACTGATGAGTCACCAATCACGTCTGATCCTCAGCAGCAGAGCGATTGTCTGAATGGATGTTTGTTTCCTTCACTTTCTGCTGAAACTGTCATTTCAGACAGGCATCACAGCAGCCACCAAAGAAATCAAAGTAAACGGCTCATTTACCAACATGGAGTTTATGATTGAACCTCTTTCATCAGATATTATCTATCACTGATATCTGATCACAGATAACTGATTGATATAAACTCAGTTCTTTCTTTCTGTCCTTTTCTCTTTTTTCCCATCTTTCTGCTTCTCTTTCTGTATCTCTCCATCTGTTTTTATTTGTTTTTTTCTCTGTTCTGTCTTTCTGTCTTTACATTTGTTGGCTGGTTTTTCTGTCTGTTTTTTTTAACTTCCTTTTACCTGTTATTTTTCCTATTTTTCTTCCTTTGATTTTTAATGCTTTTCTGTCTCTTGTCTTTTTTCTACTTTTTTGTATCTGTCTTTCTGTGTGCTTTTCTTTCTTTCTGATTTTCCATCTGTTCTTTGTCTTTGTTTCTGTCTTTTTCTTTGTAATTCTTTTAATATTTGACTGTTTTCCTTTTGCTTGTCTGGTTTTTCCTCTTTCTTTCCTTCTCTCTCAATCTCTCTCTGTTTCTCTCTCATTTACATTTGGATTCTGTCCAGCGTTTTTCTGTTCAGCCTCTAAACCTCATTAACTTTTACTCAGATTATATTTTGCGATTCTTAGCTTCTGCACCAAAACATTTGTATTAATTATTAGCCTGATTTCAGTTAGATGACAAACTTCCAGATTTCAGTTCAGCTATAAAAGTCCAAATAGATTTCTATGAAGCGGTAAATGTTTTTGATATTTAAACTAGCATTAAAGGTAAATTTCCTGCTTTATTGCTTTATGAATTAGACAAAGTGGTTATAAAGAACTGCAGTGTTTTTTCTAACTTTTCTAACTTTCTTTGTTTGGATTATTAATATTTATTATCTCTAATGGCTCAGTGACTTATTGATTGTTTTATGTTTTATATAATAAACAAAATCATTGAAATTGGGGAGTTTATTTGTTTAATTAGTATTTTGTTCTCAGACCAGTCAGATGTTTAAAACATAAAACCTTGTAGAATACGCTCACAAGACATTATTAATAGCTAATAATCGATAATTTTTACATATATAAATATGTATAATTGAAACAGCCTTTTTGTGTTGTTTTTGTCTCTAAACTGTGGAAAGTTTGAAAACTTACCTTGAAAATGGGTCTGAATCTGTCTGTCTCCTTTTATCTGTTTTCTATCATAGTTTTTCCTTCCACTTAACTTTTTCAGGCAACATTTCAGCCCTAAAAAAATTTTTTTTCATTAGTTTTAAGTGATATTCTGATTTTCTGAGATTTTGTGTTTTTATTGGGTGAATTAAAAATATATTCCAGCTCAATTTTTGAGCTGTTTCTGGAATTGATTTAAGTTTTTGATGAATTTCTGCTCCTTCAGTCTGAACACTGTAGCTGCTGCAGGCAGCGGCATGAATGGAGGCGTTGTACAGTACGGCGCCTCATGACTGCAGCGCAGAAAGGATGGGGGGCGGTGGGGGGTTGACATGTGGAAAACACCCCTGAGTCACGTGACTCTGGCCACGTGCGATCCGATTGGTGGAAGCTGAAAGAATCTTTGAATCCGAAGCGTTTCGTTTTGAGTTTTGGACGAATAAATCTTCGGATCAGGTTCATGATGATGATGGTGGTGGTAATGCCGCCGCCGGTGTTTGTGGTGCTGATGCTGGAACCTGAATCCCGGTTGCGCCGTTGCCATGGTGATGGGGCCGCTCCTCCGCTCCTCTCTCTCTTTCTCTCTTCAGCTTACAGCGAAAAAAAAGAGGGAGAGAAAGAGAGAGGTGTGTTTTCTAACCCACGCATTGGAGTGGGAGACGACGTGCACACACACACACACACACACACACACACGCTCTTGCAGAGCCACAGAGAGTGTGTGTCATGCTGGCAGTGTGTGGGCTGAACCTAGCAGCCCTCCACTCGTCCTGCCTCTCCCACTTCTTCTTCTTCTTCTCCTCTCCCTCCTCGTCTCCGGATACTCCACCTCCTCTTCCTCTTCTTTTCTTCATCCTCCATCACCTCTTCTTCTCCTCCTCCTCGGTTCTTCTCTCCATCTCTCGTTTTTGTATTTTTTATGTTCAGTTTTTCCATCATGAAGAGCTGGTTGCTGATCTTCAGGGTGAGTCTCTGCAGCTTTCTGCATGTTTTCTCTTCACATGGTGTGTGTGTGCGTCTGTATGTGGGCGTGTTGGTGTGTGTGCACCACTCACCTGCTGTCGCTCTCTAACTTTAAAACTGTATTTTCGGAACGTTTTTCTGTTTTCATCCTTCTTGTCTGCGAGTTTCTTTCTCCATCTCTTCGATTTGTTTCGTTTATTTCAGTTTTTATTTCTTTTCACCTCTTTCTGTCTGTCGTTGTCCATCCAAACTCTCTGGGTTTCATTTTTTCTTTCCCTCCATCCTCATTCATTTTTCCAGTTTTCCTCCTCAATCATTTACCTCATTTTCTCTTTTTCAATTTTTCTCCCTCTTCTTTCCTCGTCTGTTTCCTCCAGCATCACTTCACTATCGTGTGTGTGTGCGTGTGTGCTTGTGTGTGTGTGTTACATAACCTCAGCAGTGAGTGTGTAGGCTGTAATCTCAGACTGACATCTACAGGAGCAATCTGCCCCCTTCAGATAAAACAGAAGCAAACAGGTACAGGAAGTTGCCCTTGTTGTTGCCCTGGAGGGCAAATTGCTCGTGTTGAGTTTGGAAACTTGCTGCCAAAGATCGAAGTTTCGTCTGGAATCAATTGTTCCTGAAGTTGAAATTTTCTTTGGTGGGATGAATTTTTCAGCTGATTGATGCTGGTTCTGTTCTGGTCTCTAAAACTGATGATGGGTCAGAACCGAGTTGCTCCATTTTCACATGCAAGATCCGATTCCAGCGTTGAGAAACTCAGAGGCTCCAAGGAAGATGAACAAATGTTTTACCCCAAAAAATCATCCATCCGTCCGTCCGTCCGTCCGTCCATCCATCCATCCATCCATCTTTGCTGTTTTTGCTGTTTTCCAGATTCCATATTTTGTCTCTAACCAGAACAGAAATTTCTGTTTTTCCTGATAATTTCTTGCACTTTTAATGTTTCAGTTGATTTAATTTTAACTCCAACTTCTCCAGATGTGAGTCTGAAATGAAGAACACTGAATAAAAATGGCCATTTCATTGCTTTGGATAACCGGAGATACACTCATCAGTTGGCCAGAGACGGAGCTTCCATCTCTGATTTGTGAAAAATGGGTCAGTTACCAAACTCCCCCACCCCCCAACATTTTAGCAGTTAATTAAAGCTTAAAATGGAGAACTAACAATAAAAACATTTAAACCAACATAAATAAACCAAAGCTGAGGTAAAGATCAGGATTAAATGCTGGATGCATAAATGTAGAAGTTCATCGACTCCCTAACATATTTGATCGTTTTGTTGCTTTTACAAATCAGTCAGGATCAACAAAATTTGGCTTTTTAACAAAAATATTTGCAAACAAACCCCAAATATCAAAGTGGAAACTCACAAATAAAGATATCTAACATGAAATAAGTGATTGCTTAAATATTCACCCCCTAATTCAACAGGTCTCCAGCCAGTTGATGCTAGTGGAGATCACCTGATTGCAGTTTTAAAGACTCCTGGTACTGGAAGGTCCATTAACTGGTTAATCAGTATTCCTGGTCACTATTACACCATGAAGAACTGTCCAACCAATCAGAGAAAAGATTGTTGAGAAGTGTAAGTCAGAGACTTCACTGCTGCAAGCCGGGAAATTAGAGCAGCAACGACTCAAAGCGTCCAGGTAAAGCTACAGGAATGGTCACTTATTTCATTTGAATGTTTTTATTTATTTGTGGAAATCAGTTTTCACTTGGAATTAAAAATAGTTTTTTGGCAAAATAGACAATTTTTGTTGATTATGATTGATTTGTAAAGCCAATAAAAGGATAAAATTTCCAGAAGTGTATTTCAGTTAGTTTAAATCCAGTGACTCCTAAAATAATCAGACACTTTATTCATGAAATGTGATTATTTCATTTATTTATTGTCACCAGTTTTTCTTGAATCATTTTCTGCAAGTCTATAAAATAAAAGTTAGCAGGATTGAAAACTAAATTTGATTAAAAATAAACAAATAAACTGGAAAAAAGTTGCACCTTAAGTGATGTCACCAGTATGATTATGTATTAGAAAAGTAAGTCTTCTTAGTGCTACTAAGAAAAAGTTGAAATAATAAGAATAAAGTTTTGATAATGTTTAAAAAGTCATAATATGACAAGAATAGTAAAAATAATACAAGAATAAAGTCAATATTATGCTCCCAGTTTTATGTCTTTATTCTTGTATGACAATATTGTAATTGTGCAACTTTATTCTTTTCATTGTATTTTTAAAATTATTTCATATTGGGTTTACACCAAAATACCAAAATAAACAGAAAAACTGATTATGTTTTCATACAGGAGATCAAATGCATAAAACCTTTTAATTTCTTTCCACTATTTTGATGCAAATCCTCAGATAGTTTGACAGCAACACACACAGGCTGCCTGGTCTAATATCTTTTAGATAATGTTAATATTTTGCTCTGAAAACTGTGTAACCCCGATTTGATGCAATCAGACATCTGGTCAGGATTTCATGCACTTCACAAAACAGCTTGATTAAAACTGTGTAAATAAATTCAGCTGGTGATTTTATCCTCAACAAATCTTTGGGAAAACTTGTTGGAAGACAAATTACAGATATGAAAAGGCAGATTTTATGTCACATCAAATCTGCCTTTTTTTTGTTTGTTTTTTTACTGAACCTGAATCTCTCATACTGTGCAGATTCACACCATTTCAGATCAGGGAGAAACTGGTGGCAGTTCAGGATATTTCTGACCCATGAGTAATGTTTTGACTCATGCTTATTTGAAACGTTACTTGGATGTTAAGTGGAGGAATGTAAATTTAGATTCTGTAGGAAGACTGAGCTGTGGGAGTTTCTGAAGGCTCTGAAACTAGTTCATGCTGTCTGCATCGTCTTTCACCGCTCATACAAACGGAAAACATTAAAACTAAATTAAACAAACATCTCAGAAGCTAAAACATAGCTTTGTAAACTATTGGTTCAAACAATGTATGCCAGCTTCAAAATAAATATTTTTGAACACATTATGCATCTCAGAAATGTATTTTTTAGGCATTTAACTTAAAAAATACTGATTATGTTTTCATACAGGAACTGATTATGTTTTCATACAGGAACTGATTATGTTTTCATACACACAAAAAAATACATCAAAACCAGTAACATTGAGCATTTATTGCGATTTAAAGCAACTCCAGCCTTAGATGAATATTTCCACTTGATTACTTATTGAACAGAAACTAAGCCCAAACACAGAAGCACTGATTTAACTGAGTGATCCTAGATGAACTTCAGGTTATTTAGTAATGGTTTTATAACTCTTCCTTATGGTTTGACAGCAACAGCTTTGGATAGTAATTGCCTACATTTACACAGTTAGTTTAACTGGAGAAAAAAAATTCTTTTTTGAAAAATTTACTTTTAGGAGTATTTTTACTCAAATAACTTTATTTGAAGTATTTCTGCTCTTAAGTAAAGTTTCTTGATTTTCTACCCACTGAATGAAAAACAAACATGTTTTGACAAGACACAGACATGCTGGTCTGGTGAATTTCTGATTTGTAAAAGCAACTAAAGGGTGAAACATCCACCAGGGTGAATACTTTTTACAGGCATTTAGTGATGAGAAATGTTTTTTTTTTTTTTGACATATTGCAGAAAAATATTCCTCTATGTTTTGAGATTTTATGCTGAGTGTTTAGCAATTTTGGCTTTTAGCGTGTCAAAATTAGCATGTTTTATATAAATATTATACTTTCCTCAAAAGGATTTCTGTCAGCATGTTTTATTCTGCCTTTAGCCAGTTAGTTGGTTAATTAGTTCCTAGTTTAAATCTGTTCTGACGTAAGTCAGTGAATTTATGAGTCATGCAGTGAATCTTCTCCTTGAGTTTAAACCACCAGGAAACTCTTTTATTTAAAAGTCAAAGTGAAGTTAGCATCTGGATGAAGCTGTTAGTGCGACTGAATGTGTCTGTAGGAATGAACTGAGATCAGCGTTGTTTCAGAACTCCTCGTTCCTGTAAACTCAGGTTTGTCGGTTCTCGATTGTTGTGAAGTCGCACCGTTTGGGTCGGCGTTCACCACTGCCATGATTGTTGAGGAAATCAAGCAGCTTTTCCATAGTTTCTGTCTTCTCAGCTGTGTGTGAGAAACTTGACGAGACCGAGAGCCTCATGGGGGAGAAAACAGCAAATATGATCTGCTCCTGCCATTGGTTTCCATGGTGAAGGACAAGGCAGCACAGAGACGCATCCTGTTCACACGTAACAATGAAATGCATGTTTGGTGTTCAGACGGCAGCTGGACAGGTTTGTTCCTGCTGCGAATGAGACACTCATGAATCCAGGTTTCATTTTCATGCATGAACACAATCAGTGAAATGAAAAGAAACATTTAATCAATATGTCGTCTGTTTTATTGTCTTAGATTTAGCATTTGGTGTAAAATTATATATTAATCAATTCAGACTAATCTTTGCACAGACCAAGTCTATAAGACAGTTGTTTTCACAACAAAAGAATAAATGGTTGGCTGCTTTAATTGGCTTTAAAATATGTTTTAATCATTGCAGGAATTTGTGTCTTAGTTCACCTGCTACATTAAATAAACAAAATAAATAGACTCAGAATTGCTTTGGGAAGAAACCTTACATTGACTTGTTCAAAATTTTAATGAAGCCGCACCACGAGAGTTGAAAATAAACTTCATTGTCAGTTAACACAGTTTAACTTTGGTGATAATTTTGTTAAATAATCTGAAACATTTAATTTAAACAAAATGTCAAAAACAACAAAAAAAAAAAAAAAAAAAAAAAAAAGAGAAGACAGATTGGTGTATTAGAAAAGTTTTTGAATCAAGAAAGTGGTCTGTATCATATGGCAACAATACTCTGTCAAAAACCACCTGTTTTTCAGAGTTGACAAAACAAAAACTGTTTTGACATTAAAATGCGCTTATATTAAAATCTGCTCTGGAAATGTGTGATAATGCAGCTTTTGACTTGTTTCTTACTGCTGATTGTGACTTTATAATGTGATCATATTAGCTCTTTAAAGACAAAGGCAGAAAAGTTTCGACTGCAGTTGAAACAATCCGATGAAACTATAAATTTTTGCTCATTTGTTTAGATGATGCTTTTACCTTATTTCTCATCTACTGAAACCCTATTTACTAAATTAATTGTTGTTTTTGGACCTCTAGATTTATGGCCTTACAAATGTGGAGTTGCTCAGCTAGGATTTTCTTTGCCAACTGATATACTCTGCTTACTTGTTTGTGATTATTTAAGAGGTTGCACACATAGAGGCTTGCTTGGCATCTTTCAGAAACAGCCGTCAGCCTTTGTTACAATAAAGACGAAAGCCTTGAGTTGGATCACTCCAGTGATTACTGTATCAACATCTTTGAGTGAAGTTTGTTCTTTTGGTCTATGAGTATATAAGAACTGCCTGTGCAGGCTTGGCAACGTTTAGAGGGAGGCTTTTTCCAGTGAAGAGCTTGGGAAGCAGAAAAAAACCCTGAAGAAAACTGAAGGCTAATGGTGCTAGCCAAACCAGGGTCCCTGTTGCTCATTTGCATTGTATATCATGTATTATTTGTATTATATTTGACATCATATTTAGATATTAAAAATTTTAGAAACTTCAACAGTGTGTGTGTTTGTGTGTGTATACGTGCGTGTTCTTGCATAACCCTCTTGTGGGGACCTTGTAATTTCATATGCAATAGCAGGTCCTCATCTCTTCACAGGGCTTTTATTGATTCAAACTCAGGTTTTAGACAGTGAGGGCCCTCACAAAGTGTATCTGTTATCAGTGCTGTACAGCTTCCCAGATTTTCCTGCCAAACATCCGTTTCCTTGACAACCGAGACAGGAAATAGGAAGCGTGAGTCACAGGAACTACTTTTAATCATTGTCAAGTAGGTTCTTTTTCGTCAGTTGTTTTCTTGTCTCCAGTATGTCCTCCTGCTGTCTGCGCTGCTGTGGAAACATTTTACTTTCATAACCAGACCCACACAGACCAGCTGGTTAGCATGCTGTTAGCAATTAGCGACTAACCAGCTGCCTGCCAGTATGCTAACATAAGCTAAGAGGCTTTCCGAAAGGCAGTTATTTCTTTTCTCTAAACTGTGTTCCCAGGGAAGTTCAGAAAATATCAAAAGTTAAATATTTGCATGTAATATAAGAAGTAAATATGTACAATGTTGCATTTCCCCTTGGTCTTAAAGGAGATAATGAAGAGATTAACATAATTTACTCTTCAAGATGAGTGGACATGAATATCTGTAGCTTTTGGTGGGTCAAAATATCAGCCTTATACAAGTTTGTCACTAATTAGCAGATTCAAAGTAACAAGTTTTTAAGTTTCATCAACTGAAAAAACAATCCTCACAGTGCAGATTGAAACCCCCAATTTGTGAAAGTTTCAGAAACGGTGACTGAAAATTTCTCATGAAGCCGTTAAAACCAGAAAATATGGCAACTTAATAATTATTCTATTTTTCTGGGATTTCTTTTCAAACTGATTTTTTAAAACTAGAGTTTCCACTATAGAATGTCCAAAAATTTTTCATTTAGTTCCTGAAGTAACTAGAAGCACAATACAACATTCATTTGTCCATCAATATCATGGTAAAAAGAAAGTATTATGGTTTTACATAATAGTTAGTGTTTTGGGATAGTTTTAGTTTATATATCATCATCGCAATCATCATCGCAATATCAGTTGCTAAAAATTTAAATAACAAAGGACTTTTTTCAAGGCAATAATTGATGACTAATATAGATGTTAAAAATAAGTATTTTTCATGCTAGTGTAATATTTAGTCAGTTGCAGACAACAGACACAAATGACATTACCCAAAATACTGAAGGTCATTGAGTGATGGAGGCACAGATTAGTAAGAGCGGAAAGAAGGAAATAGGCAGATATCGCAATGAAAATCATCACAATATTTTCAAATTTTGTGCAGCTATAGTTTCAATGTTTAGCAACTTCTTAGTTAATAATGACATTATAAAATCTATTTGTGCTACTTGGATGTACTTTCTTTTTACCATTCATCCAAGCAAGTTCTAGTTTGTTTTTAAAAATGGGACAACATATATTAAAGAACAGTTACATCAAGGACAGTAATAAATAAATCCATGTATTCTATGTACATCCAAATATGAATAATCTATCTAACTTGACGGCCACAAATTATTTCAAATATTCATCCATCTATACAACAGTCCAGCTCCAAAACTAAAAGTAAACAAAAAAATGTTTTTGATCTGTTAAAGTGTGTATCAATATGTTTAATGGTAAAACCAAACCTATTGTGTGTATGGCTATAATCTCGATGCCTTTTTGCAGATAGGTTTTGGTGTAGCTCTGTGGTTATTTGTCTATTTGAAGCAATCATCCATCCATGGCAATCTCTTGATTGCCATTGTGTCTCTTTTGTTCTGGATCTTTTCCTGGTTTTTTATTGTTTATCTTTTGGCAGTTTTGAGTCTTTAGAGACAAATTGTTGCATTTTTCTTAATCTTCCTTTGTACTTTTGTTTCTGTCATACCTCTTTGTTGTGTGTCTTACTATTCATTTGTCACTACATGGCCATGTCATCTTTTTATGAGAATTTATAACCTCCCTTTGGTGCTTTATTAATTAAAATTATGTGTATATATACTCTAACATTTCAATAAAGCCCATTGTAAACCTGCGCCACTGTAGGACTGAGTAAAATAGTTCTGCTCAGTAGAAAACTTGATGTTTTAAGTCAGATTTTTAGCAGTTTAACTGACCCTTCACATTTCAATTCTTCTTCCTCTCCTCCCTTCCTCCATATCCTCGCTTTCCTCTCCATTACTTCCCACCCACATCCTCCCGCTCTTCCTCCCACTCTTCCTCCCTTTCTACAGGATGGCCAGGGCAGCTCTCTGAAAACAATCTGAAACCCTGAGACCTGTGACTTCTCAACTATTATACAGAAGAAACACTTGAAGGTTACCAAAGCCTTATTCTCCAAGAGGAACAACAACATCCACAGGAACTCCTTCATCTAGTATTAAAGAAGTATTCATTAAATCTTAACTCCATCAACTCAAGATCTCCGACGCCCACGCTTATAACAAGAAGAAGAAGCAATAGAAGCTGGAAAACTGGATCATCAAACTGGACTAGAACCAAAAGAGACGCCTGGCAGAATCTGAGAACCACAACAAGCCAGAAGAGATCAGTGGAAATTGGTAAAGTCCTGTGGAAAAGTTTGATGGGACTGCTGACAATAGGTGAGTGGATTTTACTGGGTTTCATCTACATCAAAAGGATTTTTTTTTATTTTAAAAGCGGGTATTTGAACAGAAAAAACTTTAAGCTGTTAGGTTGAATTGCATGTCTTGCTTCAGTAGAGCAGGAAGACTTGCAGCTTTAAGTAAAGTATATATCAGCAGCATCTCTCTGTTCTTGTGATACCGTTTGATTAGGAGCTTTGTCAAGTATTCACCACTGCTGAAAAATTACCATAAGAGCTTCTCAAATATCACAGCAAGGACCGAATCATAAGATTACATAATGTCATGCTATGCAATGCAGACACCCTGTCTACACTGTTGAAGATCAAGCTCACCTCACCATGCTTTAAATACCTCAAATTAGCTGCAATCTAAACTATTTGCACAACAATCCAGCAAATAATTAGTTCTCCATTCATAGGTTGTATATAAGGCATTGAACTTCCAACTTCAAGTCATTTAGGATGTTTTCACACCTGACAGTCCTGTAGATTCGGTTTGATTTGGGACCAGAATTGCAAAATGTGTTCTATTTTCAGCTGCTGCGGTTCTCTTTCACACTGTACTAGATCGAAGCAATCAAACTAATTGAACAACTTGTTCCCGTCATTGCCTGTGGGGGCGCTGCAACAAGAAGCATTGAAGGAAACAACACAAAAAACTCCTGAGTGCAACTTCCTTCTTCGTGAAATATAAACGAAAATGGAGTTGCATCGGATTTTATTTTTCTTTTGTCTTAAGTAAAAGACCAGGATCCATTTCTTCTGCTAGAGCTAAGATGCAAGTTTGTTTTGGTTGTGTTTACCCAGAATGCCCTGTGCTGTTGTCCACTTCCTGCTTCTGGAGCGGCCGCCAGACCGTTTGGCGTCTTTAGGTGGACATTAAAAATATGCTTAATATGTTCAGATTTAGATCCACTACTGTATCACAAATATTTGTTCCTTTGTTTCAATGTGTAAAAAAACAACAGTTTGAAATGGAGAAAATCTGCTATATTGCTACATTCAAATTGTGTCTTAAGTGCTGAAAGTTCAAGAGTCAACATTAAAAGTACAGAGGCTTTAAAACTGGATTCAGTCTGATTTACCTCTTTTGCAAATAATGTGGACCAAGAATTTCCTCTACAGGACTAAATTCAGGGTATCTAGAGGCTCTAAAATGGAAGCTCATCAATTACTGTTTGTTTGTTAGGTTTTTAATTAAGGTTAAGTCTGACCTTCCCCCAAATTGGAAATTAATTGTTTCTGTAGGCTCTTCTCTTTTAGTCAGAGCTTCTGTTTTGTTTGCTTTTTGTTTGAATTTAGTTCCTTTTATTTTCCTTTTTATTTTTAAAGTTAGTCACCATTGAGTGTATTGTGTAGTTGTTTGTCCTTGTAAATAAATGTGGTAGCCTTCAAACATTTCAGCTTATTAAAGCCATAAAATTGCAGCATTAGTCATCTCATCGTAGTTCGGTACGGTGTTACAGACCTTGAAACACCTGAATAGAAAAACCTTTTCAGTGGCATGAAAACGCCAACTATGCCAGAGCTGTATGACTGTATCCTGGGAACGTTTAGGTCATAAACGACATTGAAATTAACCTAGCAGAGTAAAACATGCCTCATAGCTTTCTCTGTATGCTCAAACTACATCAAACATTAATCTTCACCAACTTAAAGCAGTTAACTTGCAGTGTTTAAAAATCAAAATAACAGCTACTACCGAATACTCCTGGTAAAGATCAGTAAAAAAACTCTAAATTTATGTTTTATATCTGAAAAATATCACATTGAACATTTAAAAGTTGAAGAAAATCCTCCAAACTGAACTTTCACATTTATTTAGAGCCAAAAAATGAGCAGTGTTTCAAGTATTGGTGTCCTGCTATCAGTGATAGGAGAAGACTCTTAGACGTTTCTCAGCGTACAGAGAGATTCCTGTATGCTCCATATCAGTGGTGTCCAATCTCATTCCTCTGCGGTGTTTGTCATGTTTTTGATGTTCACCTGCTTCAGCCCCCCTTATCAAATAATTGATGCATTAGCAGGCCTCCAGAGAGCTTAATCAGATGCTGAGGAGATAATTCACCCATTTGAAAGCTCTGTTACAGCAGGCATGCAGATGGAGTATGTTTGGATTCTTGTTTTGTTTGTCATGTTCAACTACTCATTATAAAGTGAGCAGAATAAAATCTCATTATTTAAGAATTATTTTGTAGAGAAAATGTGATGGACATGTTTTGTATAGAGTACCGACCATAGAGTTATCCTGACCTTTTCAAGGAAGCATAAGGTTCCTTTAATGCCAGGCAGACTCTCCTGGAAAATCTAGATGCAGCTCACAGACTGAAGGGGTTTGTCTCGTTCACTCAGAGCCTGTAAAACCCATCATTTGCATTTGAGGATGTGAAGCCGATTCTCTTTTATTTTTTTATTCTGATTGCTTGACGTGTGAAACTGCCAGACTGTGATGATTGTCAGCTGGAAACACAGACTCTCTTCACACTGAAGAGGAACATTCTGTCTCTGAATTATACAAGAGCAACGTGGAGGGACATTTCTTCTCACATTTATTCTTGGCAGAAATCCTTACTCTTCTTGGAGGAAATGTCTTTACAAGGGTTCACTTACTGTACTGAAGCAGTCAGCCTTCCTAGTCATGTTTTTTATGACCCTGTGAAAGCAGTTGGTGGTGGATTTCTCTTTTATCAAACACCGTCTTTTTGAATTGTGTGTAAAGGACGATTGAAGACAAGTGACGATTATTTAGTTCTGGTTTGGAAAGCTTGAATTTACTGGAACTTATTTATAACACATTTTATTAGGTTGCTTATAAATTAAGGGTATTTCCACTCTTGAAACCTCTGAAGAAGATATGAGCAGCCATTTTTTTAAAATGGCCTCCATGGTTGTAATGGAGAATGTCTGTTTGCAATAAAATGAGCAGTAGATATTATTAGTGGTGGACCCAGATAACTAAAAGGTTCGGTTCACTAACCAATAAAATGCTAAACAATAAATTTGCAGAAGCTAATGCTAACCATTAAGACTGTTGCTTCGCCTGTAAAGATGATACATAATATTAAAATTGTATGGATAGTTAGACCAAAAACAAAAATATATGTTGTGACATTAAGTTAATCAAATTTGCGAAAATGGCTAATAATTTCTTTAAGGGGCTCAAAAACAGCAGTTATTTGTAAAGAAAATTATAACTTTTTTTGCTCATTTCCCCATTTGAAAAATCAACCGATTTTGTTTTTGTTTTCTTCGGTGGCCATTTATAAAACTGGTTGCTATGGTTGGAATGGAGAATATTTGTTTGCACTAAAATAAACAGTAGATATGAGTAGTGATTGGCACAACTAACCAAATAGTTGGGTTCACTCACCAATAATCTGTTAAACAATAATCTGAATGCTTATGCTAAGCACATCAAAAGAACTTTAGCTAATGCTAACTGTTAAGATCACTATTGCTATAAAATGCTACATGTTGTTACTTTAAAGTTGTCTGAATATGATGACCAAAGATAAAAACATATGATGTGACATAACATGAAAAGTTGTGAAAGTAATATTTTATGTCAAAAGTTGCTTTAAAAGACAGCCATTTTGAAAACCAGTAGCCTTTATGCTTGTTTCCAGATTTGGAGGATTCTTCTGGCTGCTATGGACAATTTTAAGACAAATTAGTGATTTTGGCAGCACGATATGGACAGGAACTTGAAGTTTGAATTATTATAAAACAAAAGGAAGTGATCTGCTATCATGTTTTTGACTTTTATTCCTCCAAACTGTGACAGACAGTTGAAACATCCTCTCAGCCCCGCGGAGCCACATCCAGCTGTAGAGCGTAGCTGCTGCATTGTTCAGGCTGTGTGGGAGGACAGCGGCTCTGCCCAGGACAAAAGCTGGAAATGATCAATGGCGACCCCGAGTTATTTCAGGACCGAGCCTCCCGCTGATCTAATCCACAAAGAATTTCACCTTTCATTCCCAGAAAGACCATCTGAAGCTCTGAAAATTCATGGATCCGCTCGTTCCCGAAGGAACAGTGACGGTCTGAGGAGACATTATGTAACGAAGCACTCTGCAGAGATGAGTGCAGGGAAAAAACCACTGTGCTTCTGCTCCCACTGAGTGGTACCTGGAGGACCCATTCACAGTTACAGCAGCAGGAGTAAGGATGAAAGATGCTGCAGCTTCTGCATAAAACACTGAAACCATCGACTGGGTCTGAAGCCTGCAGGAAAGGCTTGAATAGAAGAGCTAATGAGAGCAGAAAATAGAAGAAACTGGAGAAGGGAAGCTGCGCTTCTTCATCTTTCAGCTTCTGTTGGTTAAAATTCAGCAGCTCTGAAGATTTACGTTGTTCAGTCCTGAAAGAAAAAGCTACAAATGCAATTTCCACAAAATATCTATAAAAATGTAACAAACCTCACGATAGATGGCATTGAAATTTGCATTATGTTTTTACAATTACTTGTAAAAAGGGCAGTTCAGTTTAGAGGGCAGTTCAACAACAGGGCATTTCACGGAGCTTTGAAACAAGAATTAAACATTAATTTTGTCAAGACTTCATAAAAATCATCAGCACATATGTTGATAAATGTTCTAGTTACCACTAATCAAAGACAGCTCTAAACAAGGTTTTAGTCTAGATTTAAAGGAGCTCAGTGTTTCAGCGGTTTTGTAGTTTTCTGGAAGTTTGTTCCAGATTGGTGGTGCATAGAAGCTGAATGCTGCTTCTGTATGTTTGGTTCTGGTTCTGGGAACCAGAAGACCCAAGAGGTCTGGAAGGTTGATGCAGCGACAGAAAATCTTTAATGTGATAGAAGGCTGACTTTGTAACCGTCTTTATGTGGCTCTGAATGTCTAGATCTGAGTCCTGATTGATGTGTGCTGATTCTAGATCTCTTTGTCAAAAAGTTTTAAACTTTACCTCAAGTGGGCAGAAACAACAAATTTTACTCCTAAAATATTTTCAAAATCCAAGATGGTTGCCATATGTGAA